GGGGGGGGGGGGGGGTGGCCAGGACATGGGGAGTGCCGTTCGGCCCGCCCCCGCCTAAACCCCCCCCCCCCCCCTCAAAAACAAACCATCACGTGGACATTGGAAAACATAAAACCTCATATCATGAAAATGTTCTCACTTTGAAAGTCAGTGGACCGTTTCAAAGGTATACCAGCACAGACTCTTATTCAGTCACACACTCAAGAAGCACCTAGTTTTGTCATTTCTGAAATTTTTAAATGCACGGCCACCACTGCTGTTGTGTTTGAGAAGCTTTTTGCTCTTTAATGGAGGCCTGCACTTTGCCTGCCGTCATGGACGTGACAGAATATCACTTCTCTAAAATCCTCTGTTTTCTAAAGCTGAAAGCCTCTGAACTAATTTGCCAAAAAAAGTCTGGACATTGTGATGGGGCTTCCGCTTATGAGGTCATAAAGGAAGGTTTGTTCTCATGCCGGATCAAATGTTCATTAGACAATAATGGGAAAGCTGCTTAAAACAAGATTATTTGCTTAAGTGGTAAAACTGAGGAATGCAGTTTGGAGACTTCAGTCCTGCTGCGTGCGACTGGTGCGGCAAAGTTTGTCTGACAACCCTGCAGCAGTGCCGCAGTGCGAAAACACTGAACGAGTTTGTCCTCTGTGCTGCGTCTGTCTGTTTAGTGAGTCTGAAACAATGTCACTGAATGTTTCAGTGTTTTAATGCAAAAGGCATTCGTCTTCTGCATTGCTTTGGTTGGAATTGGCACCCTGTTTTCACTGGGAGATGATATCAGCATCCCGAGTAGCAAAGATTAGAAGACTTTTCCTGATCAGGAAAGCTGGCAAACAGTTGATACTCAAAATCTATACGAATGTGTGAACGAATATTCGTAAATGGTAAAACGACAAGAAAGGCAGTAGCGATTACAAGCTGATTAGCCAAAGCCGTGACTGCTGTCTGGGGTTCCCTCTGCAAAAGCGCAGGTGGGACTTGATCCAATAGGTCCACGGCAGCTGAGAACAAGGAGACTTGGTGCCCCTGCAGTTCTTATGGCTTTGGGTTATTGCAGATCTGCCGTCCGGAGGAGTCTCCCGGGGCACAGAAGAAAGCATGAAAGGGTAGCATATTATACAGTACCTATGCAGGGAGGACAGAGAACTGCGACAGGGGTACAGCGGGTTCAGACGCAGTGCCTGTGATCGGTAGGTCGCAGGTTCAAATCCAAAGGTCTGCAGAGTGATGTCACCGTTGGGCCCTCGAAGGCCCTTATAGTGGCTGACCACTATCAGTCGTGCGTCACTCTAGATAAAAGCATCTGTTAAATTAATTGTGTCCGTGACAGCGGCTGTAGGCTTGGGGGTTTTATGTGCCGTCAGTGACGCAGGGGCTGGTTTGGATGTTAGTTTCCAGCCCTTCAGTGGGCACTTGCCAGCACCATGATGTGACGCTGTGGTGGGGGTCCGTCGCCCGTTTGCTAATCCTGTTAGTTTGTCCCCCTATGGAGAAAACTTGGGAGTGAACTGTATGAGTCACGCTTGGAGGTCACCACATGATCCGAGCAAAATCTTCCCAGTGAACAAGATGGAAACGAGCAAAGAATGTAGATTGGGCCTAAGCGAGTGTGTGGGGGGGGCTTGGTGGGCTCAGATACTGGGCAGACTTGAAGGGGGGGTCACACACTTTACACTGCCATATCTTTATTCAGTTAATTGTTTCATCAATGTCATAAATTGACAAAGTTTGCGAACCCTAACAGCTAGTGTGGGGGTTCTTCTGTAGAAAACTGTATTTGGGGTCATTATCATGTTGGTTCATGCGATATGAAAGTGACGCAAAACGGGAGTAAATGCACAGCATAGTAAGTCCTGACCTCAGCCGGTCTGAAATGATGTCATCTGAAGACACATCACAGGGTTCACAAAGTTTTTCTCACAACTGTATCCTGGGTCTTTGAGTTTGTCTAAGCAGTACGCAATAAAACAAATAGGGAAAGCTGTATGTCAGTATAAGCATCTGTGTGATATACCGCACCTATTCCATATACCGCGTCTGTGTGATATACCGCACCTGTTCCATATACCACGTCTGTGTGATATACCGTGCCTGTGTGATATACCGCACCTATTCCATATACCGCGTCTGTGTGATATACCGCACCTATTCCATATACCACGTCTGTGTAATATACTGCGTCTGTGTGATATACCGCACCTATTCCATATACCGCGTCTGTGTTATATACCGCGTCTGTGTGATATACCGCACCTGTTACATATACCACGTCTGTGTGATATACCGCGCCTGTGTGATATACCGCACCTATTCCATATACCGCGTCTGTATGATATGCCGCGCCTGTGTGATATACCGCACCTATGCCATATACCGTGTTTGCGCTCAGGCCTGCAGGGTCAGCCNCGTCTGTGTAATATACTGCGTCTGTGTGATATACCGCACCTATTCCATATACCGCGTCTGTGTGATATACCGCGCCTGTGTGATATACCACACCTGTTACATATACCACGTCTGTGTAATATACTGCGTCTGTGTGATATACCGCACCTGTTCCATATACCGCGTCTGTATGATATGCCGCGCCTGTGTGATATACCGCACCTATGCCATATACCGTGTTTGCGCTCAGGCCTGCAGGGTCAGCCTGATGTTTTCACGTGGTCAGGTTTCCCTGAGCTCATTTTTTTCACAATCGTTGAAAACAGAATAGTGTGAACGGTATATTAAAGAAAGGTTGTTTCCTTCGGCACTATAAGTACAATATTATACAAATTCACATATACAACGAATATCAAAGTATACTGTGCTGCTGTATTTACCATAAAAGTCACCGAAATACCCGCTGGTTTAATATCTTTTTGTTTTGAAATATCACTTCATCAAATGCGTTTAGGCAGGTTCTAGAAATTACGGGCAAAGGTGACGGGAACTGTAACATAAAACAAGTTAAGGAATATCAGATTTTGAAACTTCCCTTGGCTTGATTTTAAGACCATAATCATATTCCAGGGCCTTAAGCTGCCGTAATGACTTGTTCCGTTATCGGGATCATGATGCCGATGTTCAGATATTATAAGCAACCGCAGCGATTTCATAATTTTACTGAAGTAAATATATTTTCGACATAAACATCTGACAGTAAACAAGAAAGTATCCAGTAACACTTTACTTGACGAGGCACAAATACTTAATAACTCAGTTACTGCTAAAGTACAAATCATGAACAAATTTAGTTGCTACTTGAGATAAAAGATGCGTCACGATTCATTAATGGTTAATAAACATATCAGTATTTCACTTGTTATTCATTACTTGTTCCTTCAGTAATTCATTCAGTAGTTCATTCAATAACCCACAAAATTTTTGTGAATTAACAGATATAGTAACAAATATAGTAACTTGCATCATAAATCAGGATAAATTTGCATCATGATTCATTAATGATGAACGAACATGAGATCCGTATTTCACTTGTGGTGTTAATTGTTCCTTCGGTAGTTCCTTCACTAGGTCACAAAGGTTAACAGGATTAACAGATATAGTAACAAATATAGTAATTATTTGAGATGTCACGATCCATCAATGATGAATTAACATGAGATCAGTGTGTAACTAAGAATGAGTTTGTGGTTAATTAATATATAAGTAATAGCATAATGCTATATTATTTGTGCTCTGTCAAGTGAAGTGTTACCAAGTAGCCTTTTAAACATTTACGGTGTCTCTTTGTATAGCTTAAATGATGTTCAGGTATGTAATATCTATGACCAAGAAGGGCTGCTGCACTGGGGATCGACGTCTCCTCTTTTGAATAAAAAATCTTGTCCCCCCCCAACTTGCCAACTCATCAACTTAAGACTTTAAAAGGCCCAATTTTCCATTTTAAGGTAAACAGGAAGTCCAACTAACAGGGCAGCTTGCGTAAGTCAAATCTAGTGTTTAAAATGTTTTTTTTTCTGATTCCTGTTTGTGATGAATGCTACTGATGAGCTCTGCTGATGTGGCACACAATGGGAGCCAAACAGGGGAGTGTGTGTGTGTGTGTGTGTGTGTGTGTGACAGAGAGCATCCCTATGCAGAAAGATGGAAATTCCATAGGAATCATCATCTTTATATTGATGGAAGAATGGAGGAGAAATATGCTGTGTTTACAGTGTAGAACTTCAGGCTTAAGAGTTAAACTGATCCATATTTCACTGCCATCTTTATGACGCAATGATGACATGGTCAATAACAACATATTTAACAACATGAGTCATACAGTGACACCTCTCATTTCACAGGTTCAGTTTTCATCCACTATTTCTTCGTCTTTTTCATGTTGGTCGGGGTCAGTGGGGGCCTGGACCCCATATTTGGCAGCACAGAACACAAGACAGGGTGACACTCTGCACGATGCCAGTCTATTGCAGGGCACATACATACACAGACACCTTCATACAGAATGGACAGTGTAGAGACACAGATTAATGTAACTGTGTGCCTTTGGATCGCGGGAGAAGTATCAGGAGGAAATCCAGACATGGCTTAACATTGCTGTGGAAGTGGAAATCCATCTGAATTAGGAGTGCCATGCACAGGTCTCAATGAAGGCAATGGTAAAGATAAAATTGCATTCTCCTCTTAGCTGATGTGCGTACGTCAGAGTAGCGATCATCTGCCATCTGTTTCCAATTTCAGCTAAGTGTCTACTGTCTGCGGTCGGGTGACGCTGAGTGGGGCTCTGACAGAGCTTGGCATGCTGTCTCAGATCCTGACACCTTTTCCAGTGGGTGGGACCATGCACGATGGGGGGGGGGGGGGGGTCATGACCTGTCCTAATGAGGCCACGATTTTGTGAAGTGTTGCAAAAACCAAGATTCATTTTTTTTTGTGGGCACCTCTCTGGCTGGATAGAATTACCAAGGATAATTGTTTTTTGGCAGGAGAGGAGAGGTGCAAGTTCAAGCCCCCGAACTACAGGATACCATGCCGACTCTGCACCAAAGCACTCAATCTCCATCATCAACTCATCCATCCAATTCAACTTATTTTTATATAGTGCCTCTCATAACAGAGTCGCCCCAAGGTGTTTCACGTGGGTGTGCTGTAATACATCACTGCCTCATTTATACAGAACAATACATGAAACATGGAAAAGGTAAAAACAGAAAGAGAGAATGAAATGTCAGAGAAAGACAACAGAGGAGAGGAATGGAAAAACTGCTAAGTAGGGAAGAAACAAACCTCTGGGGGTCCAAGATGGCTTGGATCGTTTGGCCTGACTTGGCTTGGATCATTTGTACTTGTCATGTATGCACTTGTCTACAAATGACCAACAACCTGTTAGGGTTCTCTTGGGAAAAGTGAGGTTAAAATACATGTTGCGCTCCATGTGTAGCCGCGCTCAGAGGCCTGCTCTCTGTGTGCGCATGATACATGTTGCACTGCATGCCTTGTGTTTCATTTCTCACTGTGAGGAGCCGGATTCAATTACGGAGTATGCCGGCGTGTTGGACCTCGTGATCCAGCACCCGGCCTATTATGAAAATTACGCCGCTATTGTTATCCTGATGGGGAAAACATGAGTTTCCATGGTTACCTCTCTCACGTGTGCTCTGTGAGCGACGCCAAAGACTTGAGGGTCTTTGAAGATGTGCAGGAGTGAAACTCCCTGCTGTGGAGAAAGACCGAAGGTCCCCTTATCCCATTCCTGCCATTTACACCCCTGTTACTCCCAGAGGTGACCCAAATGTTTACCTGTGTACTGTGTGAGGGTTGTGGCCTGGGATGCTGAACAGAGCCATGTTATGGGGGCTGGGGTAGTGAGCTGTCCATTAGACATAGGGACATATTTCTCAGGGGAAACTGGGACCAGCTGAGGACCAGGTTGTCAAAGTGCGACTGGTAAACACCAAAAAAGAGGCTTCTTGGTGGAGGCAGACTTTACTCGTTTGGGTCTCTGGTTGGTGTCTGGGCTTGGGCCAGGTTCAGCATAGGCGAATAAGCACCAAATCCATGAAGAACTCCACAGACTGGGATGGGGGGGCTGGGACCTACAATAACTGTACTACAATAATTATTACCTAACAGAATGGATGAGGCCCTGCCCCCCTCCAGCACTGAGGCTCTGCGGGTGTGAAACTCATGAAACTGTCCCATCCATCTTTAAACCTTATTTGGACAGGATTAGTTTTGCCTGGGGACGTAAAGTAATTGAAGCAATTACCAACAAGGTCTGTAATTTTAATCCATTTCGAATCAAACGTGTCTGTAATTGTTACATGACTCCACAGTATAAATTCAGGAGTGAATTACCTTCTATATTTCAGTGAACACAGACCCCTTTCAGCAATCATAGTCCAGCCCAAATGGCATTTATCTGCTAACTTCAGAACTTCAATGAGTCCTGAGTTTTCCACATAAACGTCTGACAGCCCACATCAGCGGCCTCTTCCGCCGCAAGCTGCTGTATGGTTGTATGTTTGATTAATATGTTAAAGGAACAGGTCACCCAATATAACAATTCTGCTGTCATTTGCTTTTTAGATGCGCTCATTCTGGTGTGAACATTGGGGTTGGATTCGTTTTTATCTGTCCAGTCTCTGGTAATTTGGGGAAATCACACACGTCTCTTATCCCATCTGAATCGGCCAGGTAAAACTAACCTTGTCCCAATTGGGCTTCTGGTCTCCACCACCTAGCCTATGGATACCCAACGCCCCTGCTTCTCCATTCTCTCTCTTTTTTTTCCTGCATCCCTCTATCTGTCGTGCCCCCCGATGTCCTCCCGGTCATTTATCTCGTACACGAAGGCCACAAAAAATAGCGAGCGCTGGGCTTTTGAGTGGCCAACACAGCATAAGAAGACGTAAGTGCAGCTGTCTGTGGAAGAACATGCACCGGCGCATCAACTGTTGAACCACCTCTGTTTTGTTCCCCTCCACTCCTGTCTTTCTAGATGTTCCTGGCTGCTTTGTCCTTTGCCTATTTTTCCAAGGCCCTCTCCGGGAGCTATCTGAAGAGTACAATTACCCAGCTGGAGAGGAGGTTCGATATTCCGAGTTACTTAATAGGAATCATCGACGGCAGCTTTGAAATAGGTGAGTGGCATGTGAATCGATGTGTTTTCATCACTGATGATTGTTGTACGACTAATTTTAAATGACCTGTATGTGCTACAGCGGCATATCTGTGCTAGTTTTTGTAGGATTTTGTCAACGTGTACATCGTTGCTCCTGTGCGACTAGTGAGGCACCAGGTAGAGGTTCACCGTTTGGCAATCTTAGCGATCTAAGGGGCATGTGCAAGATTGAATCAAACGTGTCCTCCACATGTTCGACCACTTAACTGATGGAATTCTCCTGAAAGTCCATGGTGCTGGACACTCATCACCTTGGAAGGATACACCTTTTTTGGAGAACTTCAACACAGAACCTGCTGAACCCGAAGAACATCTCATTACAAAATGACATTTCAATCCAAAGTTGGTGATTAACCGCCTAGTACCTGTGTTCCAGAAACTCACTTAGATTTGGGACTTTGCTAAGTGAGTAAAGGTCTCTCTCTCTCTCTCTCTCTCTCTCTCTCTCCCTATCTGTCTCTGTCTCTCAGTATTGTTCTGTATAAATGACACTGTCTGTCTGTCTGTCTGTCTGTCTGTCTGTCTGTCTGTCTGTCTGTCTGTCTGTCTGTCTGTCTGTGTATCTATCTGTTGGTCCATCGTCCTTGCCAAAGCTTGGAAGGTTGATTCATTTAATTTCATTTCATTTTCATTTCAAACACTTTATTTGTCCCCGAGGGGCAATTCAAGGGCACATAGAGCAGTGTTAAGATCTACCTGACTATACATACAACAAGGGGAAGACAGGTCAGGAGACAGCAGCTCTACAAGCCAGCCGGTCGACCGCACGAGCAGCGACCCGGGCATAGGAAGAACAGAGAAAAACGATTATTCTTACCCTGAGTTTCTCCAGTATTTCAGCTAATCACCTGGACTCTGCGAGGAACCATATAAGCACCGACCCTGTCCGACCTTTCAGTCCAGCTTCTGGATGTTTCCTCCTGCATCTTAAGTCATAAAAGCCGCTTTGAGTCTTTGGCCGCAGGCTGATTTCTGCTAAGTTTGGAAGCCGTTCCGCGGTGCCAGTTGGAGACCGTAAACACAGCACAGCAAGGCTTTCCCTCCATTGTTGGACCTCTGCCCTCACTTTGTTAGCAGCCCTCAGCTGCCCCCAGTAAACACTTTGAGTGGAGAGTAAAGTCAGAGGCTCGGCTGCGTTCAGAGCCATTTGCGCTGGTTTTGCAAGTCAAGCACAACCGCCAGCGGGCATGATTTCTGTGCCCCTTAGCTCTCCTGACGGCCTGCCCCAGCTTCCAGGCTACATAGCTCATCTTCCTTTCGCTCTCGATGCCGTCCGACTGTGCGCTGTTCCCCGGCTCTCTGGATTTCCCAAAAGGCTTGTGGTTTTGTTCCTGGCTTGGGTCCCCTGGGCCTGAAACACGTACCTGTGTGTCACCCCCACAGGCAACCTGCTGGTCATTGCCTTCGTCAGCTACTTTGGGGCCAAGCTGCACCGGCCGAAGATCATCGCGGTCGGCTGCTTGCTCATGTCCGTCGGCACCTTCCTCATCGCCATGCCTCATTTCATCATCGGACGGTAAATAGGGAACTACATCCTTCCCCGAATGTATTTCTTTCATTTCTTTTATATAACGTGCTGTTTTTTTTATATAAAATCCTAGAATCGCAACAAGGGCGATTCTAGGATTTTTTTAAGGTGGGAGGCATAAAATTCAAACAGAGGGGCCAACCTTACCTTTAACCAGTGGTATGTTTTCAAAAAGTAAATGACAGGGGAAGGGACAGTCCATGGGCCAATCAGCTTTCTGCTGAGGCCAGTACCCCTTTGGCCCCACCCATGTGTACACCCCTGTCAGGTGATACTGTATGTAGCTCAGTGTATCACTGCCAGGAGGTTATAGGCTCAAATCCATTGGTCAGCAAAAGTAATCATATCAAAATTCAGCAACAACCTTCATGTCCATTACTCTAGTGAAGCTGGCAGACCCTCGTCTCTGATCCTCTCTTGTGTGTAATTCTAGATCAAAGCGAATGCTAGAGAATGTAAACAGACAGTAAAGTTAATAAGCTCACTTTAGGTTCACAGTTTGGATTTACTATGCCACTTAGGTTTTGTGTCCATTGTGACATTTTAGGTTGCTGTTTCAGGAAGCTAAATTTAGTAGCAAATAATTCTTAGAATTCACTGTGGAAAACAAAATGAGTTGTATAACATTTCTTGCATGCTCATAATAGACTGCAAAGTTTCTTCGTAATTCATTCTCTCCTCACTCACTCTCATACAGCTATAAGTTTGAAACTTCCATTAGATCTTCGATGAACTCGACCAGTATCCTCACCCCGTGTCCTGCAAGCTCTCCTGATCCTCCGACCACGAGAGATGGACTTTCAACGGTGGCGAGTGCAGGTGAAGGGTCACAGCAGCAATGGGGTCACGGGGATCCGGACAGGGAGCGTCAGATCTGAACCCCTATAATCTCTCTCAGATTCATATTGACCATGAATTTAGAGCCAGGTTGGGAAAAACTTCTGTAAAAGATTAGCAATGTTTTCTAACACTCTGTGTTAGAACAGTTGTCAAATGTCAAGCGAAACAAAACGGAAACAAAACCTTGGCAACAAAGTATCCAAGAATACACAGATGTTGCAAACCCAGTTTCAGATGGCCTTCTGGGGAGGAGGTACTCCACTAACATCCATCCCTCCGTGCCGGGCTGTGAACGAGAGTCCAGCCTCTCCATGTGGATTTATGTTCTCCTGGGGAACATGTTGCGTGGAATCGGCGAAACTCCCGTCCAGCCGCTGGGAATCTCATACATCGATGACCACACTCGACAGGAAGACGCAGCCTTCTACATTGGTAATGAATCCTCCTCATCATCCTCATCCTTCCGACTTCTATGAGAAATGCTTCCACTCGTTATTAGCCAATAATATTTGTTAATTATAGCCACTAGTCAAGACTGCCACTCCTTGATATCCTTGATCATTGTGTGATGGTGAACACAAGGGGAGTCTTGATGACCTCCATTGCAGTGTTAAGGTAGATGTTTCTAGGAAAAGCAACCAGACCTTTTCAGGAAACGCTGGGTTGCTTAGTGATGTTCACTCAAAGCCAGCTGAGAAGTTCACATAACATCTTCTCTTCCCTTCTTCTCTTGCCTTGTCTTCTCATCTCTACTCTTCATCTTCTCTTCTCTTTTTCAGGCTGCGTGCAGACGGTCGCCATCATAGGCCCGATATTTGGGTACCTCCTGGGTTCTCTGTGTGCTAAGATATATGTGGACATTGGATTTGTAGATATGGGTGAGCAAACTGATGTGGACTCTCATGACTCACCGTACTGATGACTGTCTCTGACTAAGGATGGCTTTGTAGGGCTTTCTGAATCTGACTCTATTACCTGACGACTCTGACTTAATGCTGCCAACTGACTCATCGCTATATCATTGCTGTTTCATGTATCCGAACCATAATCACCCCATTCAGCCCGTACACTCGTTCAGTCAGTCAGTATTTCTGTACAAAGCTAATCTTCAGTCTTAATTTGCCTCCAAGCCCCACAATTCACAGCAGCCTGTGATGTATAATTACTCTTGGATATCTAGAAGAGCCACATAGCAGCATTGATGAGAAACATAACTGCTTAGACCCTGGTGTTATTGAGCGTCGTTGTGGGATCACCGCTGTGATGCTTGCTGAGAAAGGTCTGGAGTAGTGTCAAGTTAGCATCTAGCAATTAGCAATCTGTGAAACACCGTCATCACTCCCACCTCCCTCACCTATATAAGCTTGACGCTAAGCTGAGTGTTGTGTCTGTTTACTGCTTCACTATCTTTGTTTCCCCTCCTCATCTAAGCAACTCTTACTCCTTCTACAGAGAGCATCACCATCTCCCCCGGCGACGCCCGCTGGGTGGGAGCGTGGTGGTTGGGCTACCTCATTGCGGGGGTCATCACCCTCCTCTCGGCTGTCCCATTCTGGTTCCTGCCGAAGTCGCTGGCCAGGCCGGGGGAGCAGCGCCCCTCTGGGGGTGCCCCGGAGAAGTCCTGCTTCATCGGTGACCCCATGTGCGTCGAGCGCAAGTATAGGCCAGAGGAGCCGGCCAACTTGGCGGAGATGGCAAAAGGTACAGGACCGCCGTGACCGGCTCTGTGCCCTGATTGAGGGATTAGGTGACGACCTTCTGAAAGCAAGGCAGGATCACTGCAGTATGTTCAGGGGCAGGGACCCCTAACACAATGTCACCCCTTCCAATTTTACATATAATTTAACATGTTCAGGGACACTTGTCAAGTGTTGGGCCAGGGTACCCATGCCCCTCTGATGCCCCTGAGTACATTATTCCAATTTATGACATTTGCAGGGATACCAAAATGAGCCCCGTCGTTTTAGTAAACATAAACAGAATCTCTGCTGACATGGTCAAGTGCTGTTTTTCCAGAGTTTCTGCCTTCATTGAAAAATCTCCTGGGAAACCAAGTCTACTTCTTATATCTGTGTGTGACAATCATCCAGTTCAACTCCCTCATTGGGATGGTGACGTACAAACCAAAGTACATTGAGGAGCATTACGGACAATCAGCATCTAAAGCCAACTTTCTGATGGGTATGTAACCAGACCTGTGCTTCTGTAACTAGTGTCACTAGTGCCATTTGTGCTTGATAAATATTTTCTCTTGGTAAATTGCCACAGACACTTAAATTGTCTTTCCCCATGAAATAGGAATGTAAAAGTGCCGTGATCTCACTCTTGGCGCTTTTCCACTGCCACCAAGAACCACACTGTACCGCAAACTGACATAGCCCTGCTTACTTGCAGGGCTGAAAGCATAACTAAATCAAGCTGGCTGTGTCAACACCACCTGATTGGTCGAAATGCACAGAGATATCGGTGATCTTTGTCAATATGCATGGATTGTCTGAAGGAAAAAATGCCATATTCTATATACCATTCATTACTAGTACCGAGCCGACCCTTCTGCAGTGGAAAACCGAGGCGGGCTGGAACCGCGTTGTAACTAGAGTCTCTTTGTGGTACAGCTGGGGTCTGGCTCGGTTCCTGTATACCCGTGGAAAAACACCATCTGAGGTTAGACAAGAGATTGATATGAACGCGGAGGTAACACAGATGGCTTGATAAAGTGCAGTTTTGCCCTGAGGAATTTGTCCTTTGGATGGTGCTGGACAGACATTGTGTATTTCCCACTCTCCTGCCATCAAAGGGCATGCCTGCCTTCACCCTCGTGAATGAGAATTGGATCTCATCACTTTCATATGAATGAGAAGATCAGGCCTTTGATGTTGTTGGCATGTGATTGTTGCGGCTGCCTGGTCCCGATCCAGAGCATGCGTGTAACCTTGCCTCATCCACGCCGTTGCAGGCCTCATCAACATTCCTGCCGTGGCCCTTGGCATGTTCCTGGGGGGTGTGGTCATGAAGAAGCTGAGGCTGGACATCATGGGAGCCGCCAAGTTTGCTTTCGGCACCTCGCTGCTGGGCTACTTCCTGTCCCTTTTCTTCTTCGCCATGGGCTGTGAGAACTCCAAGGTGGCTGGGATAACAGTGTCCTACAAGGGGTGTGTCCTCAGGAATGACACGTCGTCTGTGGCAAATGATCTTGAATATGGTAGAAGGTGCAAGGTAGTGAAGTGTCCCACAGTGAAGGAGCATTGCACCCTGTGTTAGTCTGGTGATGATGTCATTTATGATGACTGATATCAGAACCTGAATCACTCAAGGCCAGGAACTAAGAATCCCACCACAACAACGTCAGCATCTTAAGCAGCTAATAGCACATGACACATAGCCCCAAACTTGGCCCAGGGGGTGGGATTTGGCTGCTGAGGCTTGAAACTGCAACCTTCTGTTCACAAACCGAATTCCTTGTAGCTAAAAAGCTAGCAGCTAAAAATATTTGGAAAATGCCCTAAGGATTGGAACTTGTGAGTGTTTTCAATCTTAAGGTACTTCTGCTTGAGTAAAATAAAGTATACACTGAAAAAATGATTTCTAAAATGTGTTTAAGCATTTTGGTAAGGGATAGATTTGCAAAGAGAATTTCCCTGTGAATTAAACACAAACAGAGGGGACATGTTGGCATCTCAGGAGGCCTCCCAGTTCACAGACTGCAACTCCGCCTGCCTGTGTTCCGGGAAGGACTGGGACCCGGTGTGTGGAGAGAACGGCATCACCTACATCTCTCCATGCCTGGCCGGCTGCCACCTGTCCAGCGGATCAGGAAAGAACACAGTGAGAACGACGGCTCAATGACTTCATTTTAGCTGTAATTAGTATTTCTGCTTCATTTTCTGCACATGTAAATCGTTACTGGGGTGCTAAACCCCCCCCCCCCCCCCCCCCCCCCCCAACATCCTGACCTAGGTGTTTGACCAGTGCCAGTGCCTGTCTGAGGCAGGCTCCGCACCCGGGAATCTCTCTGCCACCGTGGGCCACTGCCGGCGCCGGGACGGGTGCGACCGCATATTCCCCTACTTCCTGGCGCTCTCGGTCTTCAGTTCCTTCATCATCTCCCTGGGCGGGACACCAGGCTACATGTTGCTCATCAGGTGCAGCCATCCCACCTCTCCTGGAAGTTCTGAGTCTCCTGTCAAGTGACAGCCGCTCCCTGCCACCCGCGAGTGACGCGCAGTGTCCCGGAAACGCGTCGCTCCGCTATTCAGCGGCAGTAAAATTAGCCAGCAAGAAGGTTTAGCGCCACAGTCTTACACGACACTACTTCCTGGGCGGTATCTAATTTTTAATACCGTCATACTGTGCCGACATGTATCGCGGTATACAGTAATTTGATGGCAGAAAAATTTGTACAAATTTGCAGTGACTGATTTCTCCAGTTCATCAAAGGTTAATCAGCTGACCTCATCCAAACGTCCCATCTCTCTCCTTTTTAATAGGTCTGCATTCCTCTGTTGTTGTCAGCACAATCCTATGATTTAAATCATCCAATCAAACGCGTCTTGTTTGCCCAATGATGTTCAGGCATTGCAGTGCCCATCTCTGCCAATAGAGGTCACCTATTTGCCGAGTAGTGCAGTAAATCTACCGTGAGCTGCAAGAGCTTACTACGTTTAATGTCCCTGAACTTCCTTTCTGCTGTGTTTTTTTTCCCCAGGTGTATAAAGCCAGAACTGAAATCCTTAGCGCTGGGATTCCACACTTTGACAACTCGAACGCTGGGTGAGTCCTGTGAAGCCTGCAGAGTGACAGCATATGTGTACCCGTGTGGTATCTGGGAGTGCGTTCCACGTGTGTTCTGTCTACTGCTTAGTGTCACGTGCACAGAACGAATAACCCTAATTGGCAGTAATTGCATAATTACATCACGTTGCAACAGTGGTGGTGAGACAAACCAGAGACAAATTTCCTGTATGTGTGAACTTGCATCACCAGGTAAACCTGATTCTAATTCTGATCTGTAGCACCAGCAGGACATTGGGTCCAGGCCCAGCCCGGAGCTTTGCTGTTTGACTTTTCTTTGATCGCACATTAGTTAGCTAGAGAGCCGGAAAGCTCACACCTCGTCACCATCGGTGTTATACAGCCTGCAGATTTAGGCTGATTTTGCAGCTCTTTCTGACATTTTAGTTATTCTGCTTAAGGTCTAACTTGGAAAGGTGTTTCCTCATCTAGGATTTACAGTGAATTTTAGCAGCTGATTAAGAACAGCTAGTGAAGCTGCCCTGAGTTAAAAACCTAGGGGAGGTCCCCGTCCCTCCCCCCTGCCTGCTAAGGGTGTGTCCCTCTGCCCCTCCCACAGCGGGAATCCCCGCCCCCATCTACTTTGGGGCAGTCATCGATGCCACCTGTCTGAAGTGGGGCCACAAGAGGTGTGGGGGGAGAGGCGCGTGTAGGATCTATGACACCTCGGCGTACAGGTATGCCCCCCCACAGAACACTGCCCTTTAAGAAGCACATCACCCTTAAGAAGCACGTCTAGTATGTTGTGGGTTTGAATCCTGGCTGCCCCCTGCTCCCTGACCGCAAACCTTTCTAACTAGTACGTTGCTTTAACAACTTCTCTCCCCTAATTTTATTCCCAGTTTAAGTAGGTGGTAAACCTCAACAAGTAGAGCATTGTGCTAACAGCACAAAGGTTGTGTGCTCGAATCCCAGGGGGCACACACACATTGTAACTATTCCTCTGGGCCTTGAGGTGGTGCAGAGGGAATGGGGCCCTGGTCCTCAGCCTGGGGTCACACCCTCCTGCTGAGCCCGTGCTCCTTGTCCCCTTTGCCTCAGGATCGTGTACCTGGGTCTGACTCTGGGCCTGCGCACTGTGTCCTTCATCCTGTGTGTCATGGGCTTTGTGCTGCTCCGGAGACAAGTCAGGGCGGAGGAGAAAAATCCAGGCATGGTGAATGGAGGGACAGAGCTGGAATCACTGACCAAGGATGAGAACAGCTCTCTAAACTGTGACCAGCTCATACGCAACTCGGACTACGACCCAGACCGGGAGACCAGGCTCTGACTTCTGGACGTTCCCATTTTCTTTTCATCCCAAAACATGCAAAGCATGATGGGAACACTGGCCAAGTTGAATGATTTCATAGAACATAAATTATATATTTGTACTGGACTTGTGTAGATTTTATGAGATGCACAATATTGTTTTAATAAAATTTAAATATTTTGTTAATGTGCATATTGTTTTACAGAAAGCGGTGTCACTTGTCACACGTTCATGTTTTTGATTTAAAAATGTATTTTTAATTGGGTTACTATGAATATTCTTTTTTACTCTTGTGATGGATCTTTTTGCTGTGGGCTCACAGTGAAGGCCTGCGTGTTTGGTCTTGGTTGACGTTGCCCTTCAGAATGTGGAGATGACTTTCAGGATGAGAATTTTGCAGGTGACTCTAAGGTTACCGAGGTGTCTGGGCGACTCGCACAAGTGACCGGATACTTTTTGTCATCAGCAGGAAAATCACAAACAAAATTGATTAATTTGGCAGAAGCTTTTTCTCTTCCCAGATGGTTTCTAGGACCATGCATTGTAATGAAACATAACTATCGCGTGCAGAACTCTCTATCTTGCACAGGTTCTGGTGGATGTTTCTGGCCTGACTGCGGTGATGTGGATGAAGATGTGAATACAGAGGTACAGGCAAGTGTCATCTGGAGAGCAGCGATGATGGAAGTTATAGGAGGGGGTTAGGGACCCGAAGGATGCTATGCAGGCTGGGGGGGTGGGGGGCAATCCAGGACGCCTGGGAGGAGCTGGGGAGGCGGCCCATACTCCATTGTTATACCTTTGACGTCCCGCATTTCCAGAAATGAAAAGATGTTGACGTCTAATGATGTCACAGGCTTGTCTGAGGACAGAGTGAAGGGAGGCTGCTTAGGCACAATGGGGAGCAGCGGGACTTTTGCAGCAGTCACACCAGGACAGGGGAATCACAGCGTATGCTGGAAATGGCCTGATCTGCCCAGCAGGGCGAAGGTGAGGTACTGGGAACATAATTATGGCTGAGAGATGGCTCTTTTGAGGTGTGATACATGCCTATTTAAGAGCAGAGAGGAGGGGATGGGGGGTAAGGGAGATGCAGTAATGGAAGAGAGGGCGTTCTTTTGGGGGGGGGGGGGTGGGTAATATACTGATGTCTTCCAATACAACATACCTGACAGAAAATTGGTATTCGGTAGCAGTAAACGACCTAGGGTTTTGTATTCTTGTCCTTGTGTGTTGGGAACTGGGTAGATGAAAAATAACTTATAAATGCTAAGTGGTGAGCGCTAGGAGGGTGGCCAACCATGACCCTACCCAGAGTGGTACATGGAGATGAGTTTTATTTACTTCCAAAGGAGAAATGAGACAGAAGACAAAGATGGAAAAACATCCAGGATACATTCCAGTGGGTCTTAGTAGGTTAGCAGTGATTGTAGTGCTATGGATGCAGGCTGTCCAGACATGATGGTTTAGATAGGGCCACAGAACGCTGAGGGGTTTGGGGAACTTCCAGCAATAAACTACATATGTTTGTGTGTTGTTCACATCTGAAAGAAAAATGCAAATTGTTAAATTTCTGAGATCAGCAATCAGCCTGCTGGTGTCCCCCGTTCCCCAGTTTTAGCGGCCTGTGAAATATTTATAGGACGTAAACCAGTTGGCAAACATGAAGAGGTCAGGAAACCTCATTTAGAGCACCTTACGGTTCGCGATGGCTGACAGAAAATGCAGTGCAATGTTTATATATATTCCGAATGCACAAAACACTCTGCAGGTGAGGCCTCAGTGCCTGTCAACGGAAGGTTGCTGGTTCAAATCCTGTGGTCGGCAGAGTAGTCGCCCCACTGTTGGGCCCCTAATACAGGAAAACGCCGGACAGACAGCGGCTGACTGACCAAATCAGTGCTATGACCCCAAGCTGTAGTGTACAAATGGCACAAAAGATCATATCAGGTACTGGAGCCGACTAAGATACGGAAGCTTGTTCAAGGCTCTTTAAATATTAGGACTGATGCAAAACTGGGACACTGAAAATGACGACTGATTGTCTCCTCTGAATTAAGTCATTTTTATTAAATAAAACAAGCACAGGCTTTAAAAGCAGGGAGTGTGTGGCGGTCAGGAGCCGTAGGTGTGGCGGAGGTAGTCGATGACGGCGGAGGTGCTGGACAGAGCGTTGAACACCCTCCTCTCCGCCGGCGAGCTGACGCGCTCCAGCATGTAGATCAGGTGATGGTGAAAACAGGTGAATGGCGTACCGTGCTCCAGGGCGATGTCCACCCAGTCCCACACGCACTCCAGCGGCGTGTTCTCATAGCCGGCGAACATGGCGGGGTTGGCCAGCAGACCCCGGGCCGCCATCACACCTGAACGACAGGTACGGAGGACCTTATTCTTAGCAGGTGACATTTCCTAGACTTTATGAACGATATCGCCTGTGTTTAGCAGTAGAAAACGGCTATAGGTTTAAAGAGAGCATCCTACTACACTAAAAACCTCCTGGGTACTTGTTTGCCCACAGTGATGAGGCAGATATGACATCACAAGCAGACCACTGCGAAGGGGTCAGCTGAGGTACTAGTGCTGCATGGCTGAGTTACCAATAAGGGACCGGTGACAGGTGACAGATCATCCTCTATAATGTATATTGTTTACTGTCCTGGTACCCTGATGAGGGACAGCCCATCCCTATTAAACAGCGTACTCCAGGTCTGACCTATTAAACGTCCATTTACCATCGACCCTGGTGTGCAAGTAGGTAGACTCCACATCTTTCAGGCTCTTCACATCCCCGTTGGCGATCACTGGGATGGAGACGCTGTCCTTGATGGTCTTTATGGCGTCGTAGTGGACCGGCTGGTGCCTCTCCTCCGCGGTCCGGCCGTGGACGGTCACCCAGGACACCCCGGCCATCTCAGCCTTCTGGCACAAGTCCACGGTCCGCCTGAGGTCCTTGTGGATCCTAAGTGAAGAAGCAGAAGACCATGCTCGGGAAGGGTCATAAAATAAATTGCTCGGAATGCCAATAACAAAAACAAACAAAAACAATTAAAAATGCTTTAGGACCAGTACAACTAATTAGTGACTTAATTAGTTTCCCATTTAAAAGTATCGTTTTAATTATACAGGGGGCTAAATCGATGAGGATTGCGGAGGTGCTGACGCTTCTCCGTAAAAGCAGTTGTCAGCCCTCACCGTATCTTGATAGAGACGCTGTATTTGGGGTTCTCCACTCGGGATCGGACCTGCCGTATCATGTCCCTCACCAGCTCAGGTTCGTTTATCAGACATGCACCATACCCTTCTGCCGTGGCCCATCTGGGGAAAAGCAAAAACATATTTTGCTAACTGAAGTAGATTTATCATCTCTATCAAACCATCAGCAGCCCTCACGATCAATCTTCAGAATCAGAATCTTTATTGTCATTGTACAAGAACTATATGTCTACAGTGTGTTATGTAGCAACTGTGCTGCAATCTTCTCAACAATTAATCTTCTCAGCCCTGAATGCCCACCCTTCTAAGCACACACAATATTCCTAATATTGGTACACAAGGGCACAACTTTGTATTAAGCATGGGGGGTGGGGTGGAGGTTTCCACTGGTTTAAGGGGGTCCAGGGGGTTGTATTGTTCGGTTTTGATTATTTCAACCCCCCCATATCTCATAATTTACACCCACGTTGGTAGGGGAATGCTCTACACCATCTACACCCAAATCCACGCCCTTAGTTTGGTTTTACCCATCTGTCAGCCAATAGTCGGTGGTTTGGGGTATGTCTACCTCTGAGGACAGCCGCAGTTGAGGTCCACGCCGTCGGAGAAGGGGGCCACTGCGCTGGCCGCTTCAGCCAGTGTCTGGGGGTCGTTAGCTGCAAACTGCACGACCAGCGGGCGATCCGCTGAGGAGTGTGACAGTAAAAGCCAAAGGTTTCTATAAAGCATCGATTCTACTAGATAACGGTTTTTAAATACTACACGAAATATTTCTGACTCCGCTTTTGTTCCTGTAACTTGAGCTTTACCTCGATTGGTTGTAAATTCACTGTCTCTTGCTTTAGATGATCGCATGAAGTCGGCTGCAATGATCATAGGAGTAAAGCAAACATCACAGTCGTATTTCCTCACCAGGGACCTGAACGCCAGCCTGCAAATGGTCACATACGGTGGATGATTTCGGCGCGCGCCACACACATTTGGCATATGAGAAACCCGAAATTCCACACACTTACTTGGAATAACGAACCATCGGGGCGCAGATTTTAACTACTTTGCCCTTTTCAAACATGTCCATGATGTTTGAATCCATGTTTGTACTCCCGCCCGACAGCGATGCAACTCAAACCCCGAAAGCATGGACCACTGAGAAGTACCACGAGAAGCTGGTCCAGACAAGTGTTACAATCAAACACCCAGGCGTCCCATTATCGGTCTCTTCTGATCAGATTCTTTTCCGTCGAAGGATACGTTTCGCCGATCGTATTTAAAGATAAAACACTTCAGAAACGCACAGAAATATAGTTACTTGTGGATAATGGATGCCGGCTTTTCCTTTCAAAAACTAAATCCATCTTCTGATACTTCCACGGCAGAGCTTCTTCATCTCAAATATAAATAGCAGAACCAGCCCCAGTGTGTTATTTTATTTGTTTGTTTTATTTGATGCGTTTCAGGAAAGATTCAATAGAACATGCTCCTGGCATGGGGTTCATCAACGTGACCAAGTACCGGGGTAACCTTTCCCCTTTGACCCACTGACCTCTAAAAAACGCAAATGCATTCCAAATTCAGTCTGGTTAAATACATTATTTCTGTTTTAATTAAACGTGAAATTATGTTTCGTTTGAATTATTCCGCGTTTCCACGTGTACATCTTGGTGTGACGTCAGAGCGACGGGCGCAGGGTTTGTGCGTCACCAGCCAGTCGCCAACATGGAAGGAAGCAAAGGCGATATCTCTACAAATGCACTTCTTAAAGATGGTAAGACTGCCTATTTTGTTTTCATGCTTCAAAATTGCAATGCCTTCTCTCTCTCGTTCCCACGATCTTCAGGCAGGGTCAGCGTTAAGCAGCTACGTGTTTGTCCTGAGCTTTAGCAGTGTTAGCTAACAGAATTAGGTGTTTTACTCCCACAAACAGTCCTTTCTATTTCTGTTTATGGAGGAAATTTGCCGATTTGCTCCAAACTATCCGTGGGCTAATTTTATTTCGCATTACTGCAGCCGTCCGGTTGACAGTAGTATGACATTTAATCCCGCTTTATAATAAAAACGCACCGAAACTCGTTCGCCAGTCCTAACTTAGAAATGGTCAGAAAGTTACTGGAGATTAAAACCACTAAAACGGGTCTTCAGCGTAGTACCGACGTTTGTGAGAGGGGAAACCTTGCGTGTCAGAAGACATTGTTAGATGTAATCCTGTTCTCTAGCGTTGCTGTTATAAGTACGACAGTCTTTCGGTGTTTTCTTAAAAATAAAGTGTATTTGAGCCTTTTATATTCTCTCGTGTAATTCGTCTTAATTTTATCTATGAGAAAAGTGCTAATGAATTTCACGCCTTTCTAGTCTGTTACGGTGGCTTAATGTTAACGTGTCAGACCGGCAGTGATGTTCATTGCAGTGAAAGCAGCCTTTGCTCTCACTTGCAGAGTGCTACGCAGACTTCTGCTCGGAAGACTTCGACGCGAAGACGTACACCGCCCAGGCCATCCACAATGCCATTATTGCGGAGCAGCTGGCCAAACTGGCGCAGGGGATCAGCCAGCTGGACAAGGAGCTGCACGTGCAGGTACGGAGGGCCAGAAATACAGCCAGAACAGGGGCTCTGAGACGCAGAACCCCTTTGTGATAGGGCAGGGGACCGGAAGGGAGGTATTGATGCATGTTTAGCAAAGTCATTGCTGTTTGAATGGATTTTCTACAATATTTTGTCTTCAGAATATTATATCTGCGTCCTGTATACTTGTTTGCACCATGTTTTCTTGTTTGCACTGTGTATACTGTGTAAGCTTTTGGGGATTCTGGTGTCTACCAGAATTCCCCCTTGAATCAGTTAAAGTCAACCATAATCTTAAGTGTGATTTTAAACTTGGAGGAACTAACTCGTCCTCGTCAAGTCAGTCCATAGCAGACTGATGTGTTGTACTTGTCCTCTGTGCAGTTCGGTACATTCTCTGGTTCTGGTGAATCATGTTGATTTCTGTTGCTCTCCAGGTGGTGGCCAGACATGAAGATCTGCTGGCTCAGGCAACGGGGATCGAGTCCTTAGAAGGCAAGTCCTCCTCAGTGCCATCCCTCTAAAAGTCAGCATTGCTTTTTAATGAAATTCCATTGTGGTAACTGATGGTTACAAACTCCACCAGTTTCTCATAGGTCAAGCTAAAAATTTATGAAAATGGGAATATTCATTTATATCAAGTTTTCCTAATACTCAAGGCAAAGTTTGTTCCGCACCTTTGTAATATTCCACTAGAGGGCAGTACAGTGAAGAGAATCTTGTAGCATATGTGATACAAATGCTGTTGATGGTAAGAACAATACAGCTTAATTTTTCTCTCTGTGACTGATATGGTTTAAGGCAGGCAATCAGATGCTTTTTTTTTTGACAAGGCTCCCCTGGGGCTGATATCTGTCCCGATTCCTCCCCCCCCCCCCCCCCCACACACACACACACACTCACCTGGTTTCGGTCAGTATTAACCATTTTAATTATTTTACTTTGTTAGCATCATGTAATGTGTAGACCAAGATGTTGACACAATTTCTTGTATATCTAAATTACCATTTCAAAATGGATCTGCCCACAAATCAGAAGCCACACTGTTTTTTTTCCCTTCAAATGGAGCTCCCCCTGCAATTCCTTTGTGCACCACCAGAGGGGCTTGGCCTATAGTTTGAATACTCCTGGTCTAAGGTTTATTTCCCTACTAAATGCACATCCTTGCTTTACAGCGACGTGCTAAACTTCTAATCCACCATGACATTTGTTTTGTTGAGGGAGGTTAGTTTTCACTAGAGGCGTGACTCTGGTTTGATCCAGCATATCATCATGTTCTATTGCTTGGAATTGTGGGGCTGAATTCTGATTGGACTGCGCTGTCTTGCCTCAGGGGTGCTCCAGATGATGCAGACCCGTATCGCCGCCCTGCAGGGAGCCGTGGACAGGTACCCTTTCCTCATAATGCCGTGAGACCCGATCAGGGGTCTTTCTGGGACGCGTGAGGAGCCGTGGGCCGGTTTGGACTAATTGATCTCATGCCGTCACCCTGCAGGATACGGACGAAGATTGTCGACCCGTATAATAAGATCGTCGCCCGGACCGCCCAGCTGGCACGACTGCAGGTGCGTGTCGCCACCTGATAGGGGGCGCTGAGGAAAACCACTCTGAGGTCACTGGTCATTGAGCGTGGGCATGTTGTCAGACGCGTTCTGCCGTGTCGCTCCGATCACAGCGAGATCATCACTGGCGGTCCTGCCCACCGCTCCTCACTGCCTGTTTTCTCACTGCCCTCTAGGTGGCGTGCGACCTGTTGCGCCGCATAATCCGCATCCTGTACCTGAGCAAGCGGCTTCAGGGTCAGCTGCAAGGAGGCAGCCGTGAGGTCACCAAGGCGGCGCAGAGTCTCAGCGAGCTGGGTGAGGGGGTGTCTCTCTGTGTGTGTGTGTCTGTGTGTGTGTGTCTGTGTGAGATCAGAGTTGTTCCCCTCCGCCTCCATGTCTGCCGTGTCTTTTATTTTCATTCCATTCACCGGCTTAATTGGACCCCTCAGTCTTTATCATATGTATCTCATAATACAGTGTTAATATCTGGGGAATCGACTGTTCTCCTGTTTAAAGCATTGCTGTTGTTGTTGTTGGGTTCCTGCTTGTTGCGATTATCGAGTGAAGTGCAAGGTCTCCCTAATGGCCTTTGGTTCCTCACACCTTTCAGCATCATCACACAGTCAGCCTGGTCATTTACACGTGTGTGTGTGTGTGTGTGTGTGTGTGCGTGCGCGTGTGTGTGTGCGTGCACGCCTCAGGATGTCTATGCTTCTCTGTTGGTTCTGGTGCACCTTGTGTAGTCTACTCCAGGTAGCAAAGCTGCATTAATGACAGACCTGTATTTTGAAAGTTTACTATCTAGTCAACTTAGTTGACTTGTGATGCGATTTCAGCCCAGGGTTGGGCAGCAGGGGACTGAGTGACTGATCCATAAGGCTGCTTGTCTTGAGCGTGTGTAACGTGTGCAGTATCTCTCTATATAAAACGGGACATACGACAAGGTGAGTAGCAGTGATCAGGTTTATTTAAGAGCACAGTGGACATTGACAGTATGGAGGAGTCGATCCCGTCATCCAAACAGGCTGGAATCATGATTAGTGCAATTAACTAGTGAAGTAGACGTTGGCGAGTTAGTCGCAATGGCTCTGCTCGGGCCCTTCTCCAGATCGTGGCTGGGTTCGAGCCTTGCGACCACCCTTCACGTGGACTGTCTCGCATCGGTTCTCTGGTCCCAGTATGTGATGCGCAGCTTGCGAGCCCCCCCCCCCCCTTTCTGTTGCCTCACTTAGTTTCTTTTGATCTTAACCTTCCAATCTCTCCCCCCTCTGCCGCTTCCAGTGGCCACGACAGGCCCTTCCTCACACCCATCTTCAGTTTATCTTCTGCTGCCCCCACCGTCTCGCTCCGCTGTGGGGGGGAGGGGTGAGCTGGGATGCGGAGGATGGGCGCGTGAAGGTTACTGTATAAAGAACACAGGAGAGGGGGTGTAGCCTGTGGAAGCAGGATGATGATGTTGCCATGGAGTCGTGCTGAGGGATGCTGCCGGAGAGCCCAGTGTGACACCGGTGTTATACGGGAAGCTGCTGGAAAGCTGGATGCCCTCTACTCTCCTCCCCCATCCTTTCATCTCCTCTCCTCCCCNTCATCTCCTCTCCTCCCCTATCCTTTCATCTCCTCTCCTCTCCTCCCCTATCCTTTCATCTCCTCTCCTCCCCTATCCTTTCATCTCCTCTCCTCCCCCATCCTTTCATCTCCTCTCCTCTCCTCCCCCATCCTTTCCTCTCCTCTCCTCTCCTCACCCAGCCTGACCCGGAGTACCTTCCCAGCTAATCCCCAAATGTCTGGCATCCTGTCTCACACCTGGGGTACCCAGGAGCAGCATCAGGCAGGACCGCATGGCCTGGGACTCGGGCATCGGCAGGCATGTTTGTTACTAAAAGTATTTTAAAAGCTAGCTGGGAACCCTTGGGGGGGGCATGATGTAATGAGGAAATTAAGGTTTGTGACTTGGGGGAGGGAGTGCACGCAGGGTGCTTAGGTGCATGCTGGGACATTGGGGGGGGGGGAGCTGTGCAGGTGTGGGACAGTACTGCATGTTGGATAAGCTTTGGGGATGGTTCTGGATGAAATGGATAATGGGGAGCTGGACTTGTGGTTTGTTTGTCTTCGCAGAAAGGGGGGGGTGGCTGGTTCCAATTTGTGTAACCGGAGCTGTGAATCCACCCTCCCATTCTCCGGGGGGGGGGCCGTTTTGGTGGCCCCAGTAAGATGCTCTACTGACCCCAATTCTACCTGATTCTTTTATTTGTAAATCCGTTTATCCCTCTGACTGCCATTGGCTACTGGTTACTGTCCTGTGGTAATTGTCACTGTCATGGTACAAGCGTTAAAATGTTAAAAATAAATAAATAAATAATATGCGTCTATGATTGGCTGTGACCCAGCCCGTGGCTGTCTTATGTCACAACGCATCTGTTAAACCTGGGCTTACACCTGTCTTATGCTAATGTGCGCTTGGCATGTGCGAGGAGTGTGGCCAGCAGGGGGAGCCCTGTGACCCACAGAACCGGCACGTTTATTACAGTAATAAATCTGTCCTTCTGCAGGAGCTGTACATCTCGGTACATTTACAGATTTTATGAACAGGATTGCCCTCATTGATTAGGTCAGTCAGCATTTCTGGGCGAGAAGCATTTCTGCCTGACCTGTTCATCCTGAAAAGTCACCGCCTTGTTCCGTTGCGGGTCGATCCATGAGTTGTGGGTGACTGGATCGTTCGGTGGGGGTGGCGGCTCAACCTCCACCACAGAGACCACCCGCTTCTTCATCTTGCCCTTGAGGGCCTTCTGAAGCTTCTGCCGGGTGAAGGCATAGAGCAGCGGATGGAAGACGGTGGTGGCGTAGGCCAGGACCAAGAGGCTCAGGCGGAGCTGCACCATCACGTTACCGGGGCCCGCGATCAGGATGACAGCGTTGAGCACGGTGACGGGTGTCCAGCACAGCAGGAAGGTGGCAACGATGAGGAAGGACATGCGGAAGAGGCGCTTCTGCCGCTCGCGCCGCTCCCGGTGCCTCTTGACCACCCGGCGCAGGGCAATGATCACCGAGACAGACGCACGCATGCCCAGCATGGGGTGACGGCGCGGGACGTCTGTGGCGTCTGGCCGCATCGTCATAGCGACCGTCTTCCTCGCGCATGCCTTCCTCTTCTGGCTGGCATGGAAACGGGCGCCGATTCGGATGTTGAGCGCCTGCATGATCTTTGAGTAGGTGACGAGCATGGCCACAGCGGTGAAGCTGAAGATGGGAATCTGGGCCAGCAGGTGGTAGTAGAGGCCCGGCTCGGTGTAATACCAGTCTGCTGTTGTCCGGTTCTGGTCGGCATGCTCCACCCCTAGGAAGCCCACCTCTATGAAGGGCACCAGGAAGCTGAAGGAAGACGCGGCCCAGACGGCGGCTAGCAGGGCCGCGGCCCTACGCATGTTCAGCATGCGGTTGGTCGGCTTCACCGAGATGTCGTAGCGGTCCAGCGTGATGGCCAGCACGTTGGCGGCTGTGGCCACGCTGGCGAAGGAGACGCAGGCCTCATGGAAGCAGCACAACGGCGCCGCCCCGGAGGCCACCGGCGGTGGCAACAGCACCAGGACGGCCGTTAGTGGGATGCAGCCCAGACAGATGAGCACATCCAGCACGTGCAGGTTGACCGTCACCACGTTGCTGACGGAACTGACCAGGCTGGACTTGCCGCAGTATAGCACCAGCACAGTCAGATTGCTGCTGAGGCCCAGCACCATCTCCAGCACGAGGAAGCCCGTCAGCACCACTTGGAAGCTCAGCGGGTACTTCATCTCCAGCTTGGCACCAGCGCCCAAGGACTCGGTGTCGTCGCTCGCGGTGACGTTGTTCATGGTGGCTCCTCTCTCCGAATCGGAAGGAATGAACATTATCCTGTGCAAAAGAGAGGGCACAGTGTCACATTCATGACCCGTTTTTACCTTTGATGCACCATGTTGTACGCATGGATGCGTGAGTCGTCTCTCTAACCAGGACAAGCAAGTTTTGGTATGGAAGTGTTTCCATGGAGACGCATAATGGGATGTGTTTCTCACTTTGCTCTGGATGTGTTTGGGTGGGTTCTTTTAACTCGTTTAACGTCACGAGTCGTGTTTGATAAATGTCGGGGTTGAGGCAGTACCGCCTGTTTCTGTTCGGTATTTGTTTTCAGTTGCGCTCCTGGTGTGCTCTTTACTGCTGTGGTGCATCGATGGCCGCGTGCGGTGTTTGTGGTCTGTGCACCATTTTGATGTTTTGCAAGCAACAGCGTGATGTTTACCCGAAACTCTGCGGGATGAGCGGAGCCTGTCGTACAGCCCGTGAGAGGAATCCTTTATGCATGTGTGGTGGTTTGACAGTGGCTGCCTCTCAGGGAGGGGGGAGCAAAACTGGAAAGCCGTGAGATCGGGGGAGCTAACAGACGGACGTAAGCTGGCTTGGGTTATTTCAGTAGCTGACCTTGTGTGTCATGATTGAGTTAATTGAATCGTTATGGATTGTAATTGAGCACTGAGCATGCAGATGTGCTAATTGGTGTTTTGCATAGACTCCTCTTGGAAGCTGTCTTTGCATAATTTATCAGGGCCGGCATTTTGGTTTGTGTTGCTTCTCCATGTTTATCGCCGTATAATTAGCTCTCTTGCCCATGATTTATTCACTCTCCCCTCCCCCATACCCCCGCCAGTGACTTACCCCCCTCCCCAGAACGCTGCCGCCTCAGGATTGGGCAGATGGTCCTGTCCCGGCTTGTCGAAGTCCGGACGGGCTGGCTTCAGAACTTGCCATGTTTTCCAAGTAAAGAAAGGAGAGATGTTCAACCTCAGAAGCTCCCTGCAGTGCCTACAGCCGACCGCTGTGACGTGGCCTTGGACAATCTGGGTTTGCCTTGTCGAACTTAGGACAGGGGACGGGACTCCTGCAAAGATGCAGGGAGCTTGTGACGAAAAGAGGTGCAGCGTGCGTCAGGTTAGGGAGCCGCCGAATCCCCACATCCGGCAGGAGCTTTCCAGAAAACGCAATTCCAGACTCGTCCCATCAGCAGCAGGAGGTTGAGAGGCATGGAGTCCTTGCGGCAGAGTTAAAAATGTTCAGCGACAGTGTGCTTTGTAATTTTAGTGCCTGGAGCAGCCTGCATGTCCCCGCACGGGTGAGGGTGCCGCTCGTCCTGATTCTCCACCAACTCCTCACTAACAAAGGAGAGACCCTTGACTCTCCTGCTGCTGCCTGGCCGGGAGCCTTGGTGGCGAATCCTCAGTCAGCCAGGAGTGGCCTCTGTGACATCCAGGCAGGACCGACCAGCCACACATCTGTGTGTAAACGTGTCACCGTCGTGTCGCCTTTCCGAACGGGCGTCCCGAAGTCCGTACAGGTAGAAGTGGAATGTCGGCTCAGGCTTGCATCATTCGTCGTTGCCCGGGGTGTCTGGGGAGCAAAGAGAGGTGTAAAGGATATTAGGAGGCTCCCCTGTCCCCATAATGCAGGAATGGGGTGGGAGCTCATATTCCTCTGCATCCTCCCAGCACCACTGTGGGAAACAGGCAGCCTCCTTCATTTGCTCTTTGTCTGTTACATTGGCATGCAGGTGTAGAAATGACCGTTCTTTGACACATTTTATCAGCAAGTGTATAGTTCTGCACTGAAAATGGAGAATGAAACCCGTCTGCGCTGTTCAGATCGCGGGGTC